TTCAAGGCTTTTTGTGTGTGAATGTGTTGCTTCCTCTCCGTTCGCTGCTGTGTCCTCCAGGAATGATCCATTTACAGATTTTTATCCTCATTTCTGAGCCTGTAAACTGGAAGCTGAAACGTAACAAAAAAATATGGAACTATATGTTGGCAAATAAATTGACAAAAGTTTCTTTTCCTTCAGTGAAGACATTCGAGTCAGAGTGCAAATATTTTGATTTTTTAAAATATTGCAGCTGCTTGTTTGCTCTGGGAGCACTTTTTCTATTCTTGTGCATCTTTCTTTCTGTGTGTCTTTTTATAAAATCCTATTTTACCATTCATAACCTTTCATGCACTTTGAAATCAAATTTTTCCATTTATAATCTATGTTTTCTAGATGCTGCTTTGGTTCCCTCACTGCCCAAGTGGTTTTAAGGATACTGTAAGTAAAAATCTTTTTTTTTTCCCCCTTTTAACTTCTGACTTACATGGATAAAATAAAATGTGATACCTTCAGGTTTAAGAGTAAATTGTGGGATCTGTTTTTTATGTTTTCATCAGCTGTTGGCCCAGCTCCCCTGGCTTATCAAAAGGTATAAATCCTAACCCCAGCCTCATTAGCTGGATATGGGGAGGTTATTTTATTTCCTTTTATTTCCTTTATTTCCTTTTATTTAAAGTATATATAGGCTTTTTAATGATATGTTTTATATACATTATATTCTTTTTATTTCCTTTTTCTGCCATGAAAAGGAAGCAAACTGTGAGTTATGAGAGTTATAATTAATTAATAATATAATTAAAATGAAATTATAATTAAAATGAAATTAAAATTAAAATTAAAATGAAATTAAAATTAAAATTACATTAAAATTAAATTAAAATTAAATTTAAATTAAAATTCCAGTGAGGAAGATGAGGATGCTTTTGCCACCTACAATTGCTTTGTTTTGCAGAGCACCACGTGAGGTGGCTGAAAGTGTTGCAATAAAAATATGAAATGGGTTTGCACGTGGAGAAAAGAGCACTAAAGTGCTTTAAATGAAAAGTTATGGGGTTTTGGAATATTTCAGTTGCTACCTCCAGCTTCTCAGCCTGGTTACACTTCAGGTTTGGGATGGAGAGGTTTTTGGGGAACACTTTGGTCACTTTTAGCTGGCTGCAATTCCAGGAAATTGGATTTCTAGAGCAGCAGCTTTGCTGTTGGCCACCCTCACCTCCACCATTTCTGGGGGAAAAAAATGGAGTTTTTTACTCACAGCATCCTTAAAACCACTTGGGCAGTGAGGGAACCAAAGCAGTGTCTAGAAAACACAGTTAGGTTATAAACAGGAAAATTTGAAAGTGGTCTATGTCATGATTTCAAAGTGCATGAAAGGTTGTGAATGGTAAAATAGAATTTTATAGTACTTACCTAAAGAAGATACACAGAAAGAAAGGTGAACAAGAATTAGCAGTGGCACACTCAGACCAGCAGTGCCCCAAAACTGCTCTCCAGTAGCACAAAAGATCAGTTGAAAAATCTTCTTGAAAGATTTTATTTTTATTTTTTTATTTATATTTATTATATTCGTATTTGTATATTTATATATATATTTATATTTATATCTATATTAATATTTATATTTATATTTATATTTATATTTAAATTTAAATTTATATTTATATTTATATCTATATTTATATCTATATTTATATCTATATCTATATTCATATATTTGATATTTGTATATATTTATAGTTATACCTTTATTTAAATCTATATTTTTATCTTTTTATATTGTATACATCTATATTTATATTTATACTTATATCTAAATATATATCTATATTTATATATATTTATATTTATATTTATATTTATACTTATATTTAAATATATTTTTATATTTGTATATATTTATATTTATATTTCTATATATTTATATATATTTATATCTATATGTATATTTATATGCATATTTAGATTTAGATTTATATGTATATTTATATGTATATGTATATGTATATTATTTGTATATTTATATTTATTGTATTTATATTTTTATTATTTTTATTTTTATTTAGATGTATTATTTTTCCTTTCATGCACCACCAGGCTATAAAATGTGCTCTTTTAAATAGTTTATCTTTTATTAAAAAACCGACAAGGGTGACAAAATGCACATGAAAGTAATAATCAAATACATTCTGTGATGTTCCTAATTACCCTGTGATTTCAAACAACAAACTATTTGACAAGGACCTTGGTGCAAACAACTTCCAAGTGGAAAGAATGACTGGTTCTAGATATCCTGTTACCTTGAACAGGAGTAAAATGTAAAGAACATAACTCAAATTAATAATTTTATTTTTTTTTTTTGGTCTAGATAATCATATTATTTGAACAGAATCTCATACAGGTGTAAAATTCATAGTAAAGATGTCTTTATTCCAAAATAATAATAATAATAATAATAATAATATATAATAATAATAATAATAATAATAATGTGTTAGGCAGACAGCTACAAAACATCTACACAAGACTTTGGTAAGAAATGTTCATGGTAGCTTTTTCATAATTCCACAGCAAACAAAAACAACAAAGGAAATCTAAAAAATGCAATCAAACATAAATTTGTTTAACTCATATGTGGCACAAACAGAGTCCTACTGTAGATTTGTTAAGCCCCTAACATTTCCTTTTTTTATTATGTGTAAAGATTCTATCGTTTGTATATTAGAAAAAAATTACACACAATGCTAAGATCTGGTAGTTGAGGTCTACAAAAAACTGGTGTGACATCTGTGCTTTGAGTTCAGCAGGATTATCCAGGACATCAGAACTTTTACTGACTGATAACCAGTGCCTATTTCACTACTAGAAACTTTACAGTAACAATGCAAGACTTCTACATATTTTATATCAGAGCTTTTATTTTATTTATTTTTCTGAATAGAAAATCAACCTCTTATTTTTTTCTGTTTGTTTTTCGTTCGTGTTTCTTTTTTTCTTTTTTCTTTTTTTTTCTTTTCTTTTTTTTTTTTTTTTTACAAAATGTAACAAGCCTAAATGTTTCACTTGTATCAAGTTAGAAGAAAGAAAAGTGATCTTTAAAAGGCTTCAACAGCAACGCAAGTGTGAAAGAGCTGAATGCTAAGCAGGAGTGGTCACAAATTTTCTGAGCCTCTCATTTCATCTGTAACAAGGTGGGGGGAAAAAAAGCCATTTGCAACATTCAGAACTTTAATGAGCCAAAGAGAAATGACTGGAAATCACACTGAACAGCCTTCTAAGAGAGAAAGAAAACATGAAAATAAAAGGATGTGGAGAAGCAAATTAATGAGAAGCACAGAGAAAGGAATGCCAGATTGTTTAAATGGGATTTTGTTCAGAAAGGTGTTGTATGTTCTCTAAAAGTGTATTTGGACGATGTGGCCCTTGGCAAAGGGAGTATTTAGCAGACAAAACAGCTTGATGGATGGGAACAGATGTGAAAATGAAAATACAACACTGGGTTTCATTGATTATTTGCTGAGACAGGAGCGGTTTTGCAAGATAAGCTTGAACAAGTGCTAAGGGTTGACGAGATAAATCTGGTTCCTCAGCTCAGCAAAGTTTTTCCCTTCAGGAGAAACTTCTGCTCCCTCTTCCCCAGGCTCACAGACCCTTCAAGGCCTTTAAAAGCTCTCTGGCACACGTTTTATGGCCCAAGATTACTTTTCTGAGTGAGTGGCCTCAGCTGGGACACCTTTGTCAGCTCAGCCAGAGATGTGGCTCTGCCCTGGCTGAGCCCCTGGCATTGCTCTTTGTGGCCTTCCTCTGCAGTTTCTCCACCCAAAATATGCTCGGCTGGTCACTCCCCCATTCCTACATCATTCAGCTGGGTTTTCTTTTGTTGGGTTTTCTTTCTTTTTGGTCATAGAAGTGAAATGTGAGGTCCTAAATGCGTTAGTGAGGGACTTGCTGCTATGCTGTGATGGCAGTGCTGCAGAGACATAAACTGCACGATTTTGGAGCAGGCACAAGGAGGCAAACTATCTGAATTAACATTATTGAGTGAGCCAAGCTGTGCAAAAAGTAAAATGTTTGGTTTTAGCATTAAACCTCGTTGTACTCTTTTTTTTTCCCTCCTGGTTTGGTTGGCTATGGGTGTGCACCCATTTCATTCAGCAGCAGCAGGAAAAGGCTGGCATTGCTGTTGGTTCCATTATTTCCTCGGCCTTTCCTTCATTCCAAACCCACAGAAAGCAGCAAAATATGTACAAAATATGGGATGTGATGGCTGTGGAAGTCCTGAGCAGCTCTTGCAGTGTTCAGTGGAGAAATGCTGATGGAATTAGTGCCAGCAGCCCAACGAGCCTGTTCAGGTACGGAGGATCCCCAGGGTGGTGGTGGTGAAGATGAACAGCTCAGAGGGTTGTGGTGCACAGCAATATTTCAAACCCAGCTGCCTCAGGGTAGTGACCAAGTGTTAAGGAAGTGAATAAATTACTTCAGGCTGCTTTAGAGGCCATTAAAAAAAAATAATTCTCTCCATTCATTTCTCTCAAGCTTGAGTCAGCATCAACAATCTTTATTTTCAGTGCTTTGTTCTTACTCCTGTAGAGACACAGGGGTATGCTGCCTTGCCTGGACCAAAAGGTAATCCATCACCTTCCCCTCTTAATGCTAAATTATTACAGGAAAATAAAATTACAAGAAAATTTTGTATTCCAATAGCAAGTGGGGCCCAAGAGTCTCCCTGATTACACCCGACTGTGTAGGGATGAGAGTTAAATTCTGCAGGAGCTGGGGTAAAATAGCAATTAGAAGAGTGAGAAAGTGTTTTCTATTCTCAGGTAGTCTTTTAATCACTGAAGTAGTCAGGGAGGATATTTAACCTGGCTAGGATAGCCACAAATGGGTAATTCTCACAAATTAAGTAATTTTTAGATTGCCCTGTACTCTGAGTAAAAAAAAGACAGAAATGACACTGCTGTAAACGTATTCTTGTGCCAATCTATATTTGTTTATTTTTAAAAAGGCTGTCATTGTTTCCTTTCAGAGGCTCATTTCATTTTAAGGGATGCATGAGAGCCTGGCTTACCTTTGCTCTACCATTTTTGTTTTATTATAAACCTGTCTCCCTCTCCACCTGTGAATAAGATCCTTGAGAAGCTGGATCTAATTTTTTAGTGTCTCTCATGTGGAAGACGTCCTGTGGCAGAGCTGTTGAGATGGTCTGCAGCAATTTGTACCAGTTCTGTGTCCATTTTGGAAGGCAGTGGATGGACCCAGTATGGACTGTACACATTTTATGACATTGGCATGTTTGTTTTTCTTGACTGTGATCATGTCAGACATCACTATCGAGCTGCAAAAATTATTTCCTTTTTATGTTTTGAAGAAAAAAGGATCTTCTTGCATGGACCACAGCATCCATGTGAAGAAAAGTGTTTAGGATTGTTTTTGTTATTATTCCAATAATAACTATCAGCTCAAGCCAATAGTGTAAAAAGATAAACATGCACCTTTAATGTTATTGAACCAGCATTACTGAAATTACTCCTTGGCATAGTTGTGTAATCACAGAGGCACTGCTTTGGATTTTCTAAATCAAATCTAGAGAGAAATCCTCCCACAGGTGAAACTTTCTGTCACTTGAACTTAGTTTTGTTAATATGCATGCATCCCATGTCTTTACAAGTGATATTTCAACATGGCTATTCCATGTCCACAGATGTGTCTGTATTTTAATTAAGTAACTCACCATGACTTTACTATTTTTATGCATTAAGGGCTAGCTGGAGTACCAAAGGTTTACTCTCAGCATAAATCCGTGAGGAAATATTTATAAAATATTTTTCTTGCCCCAGCAAGACTAAAAAGCAAACCACACTGCAAAAAAATGAAAACTAATATACACTTTATATTTTGTTGTTGTTGTTCTTAAAAAAAAAAAACAAACCAAGGTTGACTTTCCATTTAGCTCCGAGTGCATCACTTGGAACCTTGTGTTTTGTTAACAAGGATGGACATTACACGCTCTTAGCTCCTTTTTGTCTTTGCAGCTGGTAAATTGAGTGCTTTTGGACCTCTTCTTTACCATCATGTAGCGCTCCTGAATTCCACCTCCACAGAGTGTAGAACATTCTGTCCAAGCAGTCCATGGTTTCAGCCTACAAACTGAATAAACAGAAAAGTGATTCCGTACATTTTTAGTTTTAGGAACCCCTGCTAAGTATAATCAAATTGAATTTGTCAAACACTTGGAAAAGTAAAAAGAAATTTAATATCTGCATTACAAGAGACAGGTAAAATTATGAAATTGTTAACTGTCAGACAAGCACATAGCAGAAATTCCTGTCCAGGTCACGTTAATTGTACCACAAGATTTGTTTTGTTGATTTGAGGAATCAGGACTTGATGATCCTGTCCCCCATTGGAAAAGCAGTTTGAGCAGAGATCTCTTGGAGCAGCCTGAGTCTCAATCAGGCTCCTGAGGTGGAAATTAGTTGTTTTGAAATTCAGAGTCAAATCCAGGAACAAGTATTTGAAATGTTTGAAGCTAATGGGCTGTGAGGATTTCCACCCAGATTGCAGAAACTGCAGCTACACCTTTGCCAGATGTAAAGTTTAAATTTTTTCACACTTTTGTGTGGAATAGCTACAACATCTTTAGTGGTGGAGCACAGAGAGATGTGAGCCTTTCTCCATGGTGCCCTAAGCTTAGGCAGGGTGATTTTGGTAATGGGCAAGCACCAAAAGTGTCTGTGCTTTATTGCATGGCTCAAACCTTCCCTAGACTGAAGCCCTGAAGACACTCTCACAAATGCAGAAAAGCCATGAACATCCTGAAAGTGGTTTCACACTCACCTGGATATTGCTCACTATCTAAATTCTTCTTTGCTTGTTCGCTTCTCCTTTTCTCCCGGGCCTCCTTCCAGCGCCTTTTCTCCATCCCAGCTCCCCTCAGGCACTTCCTCACCCTGCATTTTGTACGCTGCACGGTCTCAGGGCAAGCTGCTCCCCCAAACTGGGGCTCAATTTTAATCATCCTCGTCCTGATCATGTGGCCCTTGCCACAGGAGGTGTTGCACTCGGACCACTGGGACCACTCCGTCAGCTCGCAGTCGATGGCTGCAGGGAACAAGAAACACCCAAAAAATGACACAAAATCCTGAACACAGGGTCAAGATGAACCTTTACACCCCATCTACACGAGCTCTACTAAAGCCTCCAATCTCCTCAGCAATTGTTTGGAGGCTGCATGTCAAAATTTTCTGAGTCCATTTCTAGCAGAAGTGTTACTTGACACGCTCTTCTATTGCTTCCTCAAGAGTGGTGCTGGCAGATCACTAAAATTACAAACAACATATAAATAATTCTCCTGTGCCTTCTTCCATTTTCCCACCCATCTGTCTGTTTTGTAATGAAAAGCTGTTGAAAATTGAGTTATATTTAAAAAGAATTTGCTACCTCTGAGATCTGAGCCTTGCTTTGCTGGCAGAGTTATGCAATAAGCCATATTCACTAATACCATTATAACTTGAAAGTTTTCATCTTTCAGCACTGCTTAACACTTACAGCCCCAGTGAATAATAATCAAAATGATATTTCACATTATTAAAGAAAAGCTGAATGAGCAATTACAGTATAAAAGCCTTTTTAACCAATACTTTCTGTGAAAAATAATGTAATTTGTGATAAAACTTCATAAACCAGCTGGCAACAGGATGCCAAAAGCAATCATATCTCATTCATTCAGCAGTGCCTTAGGCTATCACACTTCACAAAGACTGAAAAGCAACTAGAAATTTGTCCTACCCAAGAAGTGAGGGATTTTAATGGAGTAAGGTAAAAAAAATCTCTGCAGCTGCCTCCACACCCTTCAGCAGCAGGTTGCAAAATGGAACCATTCAGAGGTGTATCAAAGGTGGAAAAAGCCTCTTTGGTGCCCTTCCTGAGCTAAAACAATCACACAGGTGATTTAAACACTCCTTCCTTCCTTCCTTCCTTCCTTCCTTCCTTCCTTCCTTCCTTCCTTCCTTCCTTCCTTCCTTCCTTCCTTTTATTTTATTTTAACAATACACATTTGATACCCTGCCTATCTAAGAAGTGGTGATAGAGGTTTGATCCATGGATTTTGACACACAATTAGCCTCCTCTTCCCAGGGAATTCTCCAAACTCACGGCATTCTGGCAGCATGCATTTCTCTGCCTGCTCCAGCTCCTCGTTGCAGTCTCCCAGCTCAGCAGCAGATTTCAGCATCCTCTGCCTGGTTCTCATTCCCTTCCCGCAGGTTACACTGCAGTCACTCCACTCAGACCAGGGAGAGAGCAGGCAGGGGATGGTATCTGGTAGGAAATAAAAAGTTTAATAATGAGTTCTTCTTATTGACTATTTCTCACTAGAAATAAATTATGAAGGCATACATTTTGAAAGTATCACAGGTGGAGAACGTGCTATGTTTTATCTGTCATCAGCCAGCTGTACTTTCTTGTCACAAGCTGAATGGTGCTGCTGAAGAAGCTGAGAAAACTTTATATTAAATTGAAAGGCTTGCTTGATTTAAATATCTTTGCTATCTTTTTCTGTATCTAAGTCATGTCTCAGTGCATCTGGGGAATAAGTAGTGTGAGGTGTTATGTTTCAATCATAACTCCTGTAAAAATAAAAAAAAGCCCAAACCAAAAAGGATTTTTGCAGTGAGCAGAACTGGAAGTCAACTTAATTTAGTCTAAATGGCAAAATTCCATATTTGATCTACAAAAAATATTTTTAAAATTATCTCTGATGAAAATTTAACATTTCCTAAGAAATTAATAGTGACAGAAAGGCTGTGGCACAAAAGAAACACCTCAGTTTCTGAACTTTTCATGGGTTTAAAAGGGGAGGACATTGTTTTATTAGTTTTATTCTAGGCTGGTGGTCAAATAAAGCTCATATTGCACAACCTGAGCTGTTCAGGTTTGCTCATACACATCACTGCCTGGGTCATACAGCAACTGAACCACTGAACATTTATTTTATTGATGCTCTCATCTATTTTCTAAGAATTTTCTCCTCATTTTAAGGAGGACAAGGAAAAGCAGCCTTGCTTCTGGTTTGGCTGTGTTTGTGTGCTGGGGCAATGTGTCAGAAATGATTCATTTTAGAGCAGGGGAGAGAGAGGAGCTCTCACTCACGGCACTCAGGCATCATGCACTTCTCTGCCTCAGTGGTCTCTGCCTTGCACATGGATCCATCAGCTGGAGTCATCTTGATCATCCTGTGCCTCCTCTTCATGCCCGTGCCGCAGCTGGCGCTGCACTCGTCCCACTCGCCCCATTCAGTGACGAGGCAGCTGCTGGGAGCTGTTCAAAGAGCACAGAAAAATGTTCATGGCTGTCACAGCATCAGCTGGTGGGAAGGGACCCCCAAGGGTCATCAAGTCCAACTCCTGGCCCTGCACAGGGTCACCCCCAAGAGTCACACCGTGACCCTGAGAGTGTTGTCCAAATGCTTCTTGAGCTCTGCCAGGCTTGGTGCAGTGACCACTGCCCTGGGGACCCTGTCCCAGTGCCCAGCCACCCTCTGGTGAGGAACCTCTTCCTGATATCCAACCTGCACCTCCCCTGACTCAGCTTCAGGCCATCCCTTGGGTCCTGTCACTGTCACACAGAGCAGAGATCAGTGTCTGCCCCTCCTTTTCCCCCCAGCAGGAAATTGTCACTGCACTGAGCTCTGAGCCCAGTCTGCTCCTGTCCAGGCAGAACAGACCCAGTGCCCTCAGCTGCTCCTCACACGGCTTCTCCTCCAAACCCTTCCCCATTCTTGAGGCCTCTGCATGTTCTCTGCTACCTTTTTACCTTTTTTATACTGTGGCACCCAAACCTGCCCCAGCACTGGAGGTGAGGCTGCCCCAGCCCAGAGCAGAGCAGGACAATCCCCTCCCTTGCCCTGCTGGCCCTGCTGTACCTGATGTCCCCAGGACAGGGATGTCCCTGCTGGCTCAGGGCACTGCTGGCTCCCATCCAGCCTGCCAAGGACCCCCAGGTCCCTTTCCCTGGCACTGCTCTCCAGCCTCTCCTTCCCCAGTCTGTCTGTACAGGTGCAGAACCCAGCACTTGTCCTTGTTAAAATTCATACAGTTGGTGATTGCCCAGTTCTTTAATTTGTTGAGGCCTCTTTGCTTTTGAGGGAGTCAGCAGCTCCTCCCAGTTTTGGATCATCTGGGAATTTGCTTAGAATCTCTTCAAGTCTTGCATCCAAGTAATTTATTAAGGTATTGAAGAGTACAGGGCCTAGGATGGAGCTCTGTGGGACCCCAGTAAGACTCATATAAAAAATGATTTGGGCAGTTCTCCTGCTGTTGGCTGCTGATTTTATGGAGCTGAATGAAATACTTACAGCATTCCTCATTTACAATACACTTCTCAGTCTCTTCAGTAGGCACTTTGCACATGGAGCCATCCTCGGGGAACTGCTTCACGTATCTCTCCCTGGATCTCGTTCCCATCCCGCAGGAGACGCTGCAGGGGGACCACGTAATCCAGTCAGACATCATGCAGGTGGAACCATCTGAAACACAGAGAGCACTCAGGTGTGGGGACTGACAGAGCTGTGACATTTGGGTGCAGCAGCCCTTTTATGCTGCCCTCCACGCTGTCCTCTCCTCCACCCCATCCCTCGCTCCTCTCCTGCAGATCCTCTGCACCTCATGCCCTGACACAGCTGAGATGCAGAATTCACCACTGGCAGCTTCCACTCGTGTTCTCCAGCAATTTTCAGCTCAAGCCATACCACAGCAACCAACATGCCTGAGAACTGGAAAGGAAAAGAAACTCTACCAGGTATTCTCCTCCTCCTCCACCTTCCTCTCCTGGTTACCTTCATCACTGCAGCCCGGACCCATGCAGGGCTGGAAGTCCTGGGTGTCAGGGCAGGGCACACTGAGGTCCAGCTGAGCTTTCAGCATTCTCTGCCTCATCCTCTTGCCCTTTTCACAGGTAGAGGAGCTGCAGGCTGACCATGGCGACCAGTTTGAGTATATGCAGGTCTCAGGGGTGTCATCTGAAAAGTGAGGAAAGGCATCAAATGTTAAAAATGGTCTTCCATTTTCTTCCCTTTTCTTGGCTGATGATTACTTTAGATCCCAATAGAATCCATTATTTCCTTCTGCATTCTATTTTCTCCGTTCAAAGCCAGAAGAAAAAGAGAATTGCCAATTGCCAACTTTCTTTAGGGAAAAAAAATAAATTCAAACCCCAAAAATCTCTTTTATTGCCTTATGGTTATTGTCATCTCCTACATGCAATACATGCAATTTATTTTCTGTACAAGGGAAGGCTAATAGAAGAGACCAGAAGAGATGAAAAACTAAATCACTGTTTGACACTGAGTGGAATTTTTGCTCCTAAGTCAGTTTTGTGCCTTATCTACAAATGGCAGCAGGGAATGGAACAAAATATAAATTATTAGTAATGCACAAACTAATTTGAAACATACCTTCTTCTTTTTCCTCTGGTGCTAGATCTGCCACAATATCATCTATGTTGTCAGGAACGATATTGCACTGCTCCCCCTGCCAAAAAATGATTGTGAACACTAAAGAAAGGAAACTCATCCATGAGGGGTTAAACCAGTACCCCGTGAGGCACCAAGGTGTCAGCAGCACCTCTTTATCCACAATTTCCTAGGCATACATAAAGAAAATCCCCAATTAAGCAGATGCAATAATTGCCAGAAGTAGGAGAAATAATACCTTAAAACAGTTTAAATTTCTTCTGCTGTTATCTTTGCTGTGGGTTGGTTAAGGAGTGTAGATTTGGAGGCAGGGGGTGAAAGAATTGATTGGTTTTTTTGGCTTACAAAGAGGATTTTTGTTTGCTTGAGAATTTTACTGATATGTGTTCTACCTTTCGAGCAATTCTCTCAATGACAACTCTGGCCACCAGCTTGATAGATCCTCCTTCTGGATCATAAAATGGGCTTTGAGGGTGATCCAAGCTTGTAAGAGGTCTGATCTTCTCCTGAGGTACTGTAGGTTTGTTAGGAGACTGCAATCAAGAAAGAAAAAAAATATGTTATAAAAGAAATTAATATTTTCTTAATTAGAAATTAATCTGCAGAAATTAAAACTTCTCTGAAATGTTAAACTGCAAAATTCCAATGTAAAATGAACTTGGTGCATTCATACTTACTGCTGTGGGGAATTGTTTTGGTTTTTTGTGGGGTTTTTTTTGGTTCATTTTGTTTTTTGTTGTCGGTTTCGTTCTGCTTTGCTGCAAGAGATAGTTGCAGTTTCCTGTGCCAAACAGAACAGTTGGATTGAAACAGTCCCAGACTGGAGCTGATGCAGCTGCTGATGGCACTGCTTTGGTGGGCACCTAAAGGCTTGGCTGTGACCAAAGCCCTCTGTTTATTCAATAAGTGAATTTAACAGGCGAACATAAATGAGAAATTCTTTACTGTGCTGTAAGCAAGCACTGGAATGGACCACTCAGAGTAGGAGCAGAGCCTCCCTTCCTGGAGATGTTCAAGAACTTCACAGAATCCTGGAATCTGCTCTAGGATGACCCTGCTTAAATACAGAGATTGGACTTGTGCTTCCTCCCAACCTTACCCATTCTCCTGTCATTCTGAATATTGTCCCACCAGTGCTGATGCTGAGGGGCCTCAGGCAAAAACAACCGACAGTGAAGTGTAGTTAAAGGAATTCTATTTCATTTTAAGGAAAATTTTTAACAGAGTGAAAAATACAAAAACATGGGTGGCACCAGCATGGATCAAACTGCCTTCTTCCACTGCTCTGATGTGGTATATCAGAATAAATTACGAGTAGTGCATGGATCAAACTGCCTTCTTACTTACTGCTCCATGATATATCAGAATAAACTATGAGTAGTGCATGGATCAAACTGCCTTCTTACTGCTTCATGATACATCGGAATAAACCATGGGTAATGCATGGATCAAACTGTTTTCCTACTCCACTGCTCCGTGATATATCAGAATAAACTATGAGTAGTGCATGGATCAGACTGCTTTCCTACTTACTCCTCCATGGTATATCAGAATAAACTACAGGTAGACATGGATCAGACTACATTGCTACTCCACTGCTCCATGATATATGGGAATAAACTACGAGTAGTGCATGGATCAAACTGCTTTCCTATTCCACTGCTCCGTGATATATGGGAATAAACCATGGGTAGTACATGGATCAGACTGCTTTCGTATTCCACTGCTCCATGATACATCAGAATAAACTACGAGTAGTGCATGGATCAAACTGCATTCTTACTGCTCCGTGATATATCAGAATAAACCAGGGATAATGCATGGATCAAACTGTTTTCCTACTCCACTGCTCTGTGATATATCAGAATAAACTATGAGTAGTGCATGGATCAGACTGCATTGCTACTCCACTGCTCCATGATATATGGGAATAAACTACGAGTAGTGCATGGATCAGACTGAATTCCTACTCCACTGCTCCATGATATATGGGAATAAACCATGGGTAGGTAGTGCATGGATCAAATTACATTGCTACTCCACTGCTCCATGATATATTGGAATAAACTACAGGTACTGCATGGATCAAACTGCCTTCTTACTTACTGCTCCATGATATATGGGAATAAACCACGGGTAGTGCATGGATCAAACTGTCTTCTTACTTACTGCTCCATGATATATGGGAATAAACCACGGGTAATGCATGGATCAAACTGTCTTCTTACTTACTGCTCCATGATATATGGGAATAAACCACGGGTAATGCATGGATCAAACTGCTTTCCTACTCCACTGCTCCGTGATATATCGGAATAAACCACAGGTAATGAATGGATCAAATTGCATTGCTACTCCACTGCTCTGTGATATATGGGAATAAACCACAGGCAGTGCCCATACCTCATATGTGACTCCGCTGTCGGTGCCAGCATCCCAGGGGATCAAATCCTGCACCACTTTCTGGACCCAGCCGCAGTCCTTGGTGCAGAGATCCTCGGCAGAGAGCCCCACGTTCCAGTCGGGGCTGGGGCCCAGCATGGTGAGGAAGGACATCAGGTGTCGGTGGCGATCCACGGAAAACTCAGCAGAGGGAGCAGCTCTCCTGCAAATCCGGAGGAAGAGTGTGAAAAACTGAGCTGGGCTCGCTGCCAGAGGAAATTGAACCCAGAAAGCTCCAGCAAAATTCAAGGAGCTCTCTGCACTTTAAAGTATGTGTATATATATATATATATATATATATATATATAAAAATATAATATATATTTAAATATATTTTAAATATATTTTAAAAATATATAAATATATACATATATTAAATATAAAATATATATTTAAATATATACATATATAATATGTATGCTTTATAGTAATACATTAATACTGCTTTATAGTAATACATTAATACTCTAATAGAGATGTACAAATACAGAGCTGCAGCAGTGTGCTCATACTTTAGTGGGATAATAATAATAATAAAAACATCTGCCAAAACACTTGTAAAAATTAGGGCTAAAATAGCAGGAAATATCTCGGTTGCAGGGTTTCTTTTTAGCCCCCCCACCAAAAAAAAAGGTAACTATGCCAAAAATTCTTGGAAGTGCTACTGTGAGTGCAGAAAAGAACTAATTAATGGAGTTTTAATGCTCATGTAAGTGAGAGATGAGTGGTCAGTGCCAGCCCTGGAGGGTTCAGCCAAGATTTTTTTGGAACACCTCTGTCATTCCCTGGGGAAGGAATCTGCTGAACGACCCTGTGCTCTCCATGCTGACAGCAGCTCCCACATTCCTGTGCAAATGGCAATAAAATCAGCCCTGACTGGAGAAGTCTGGAAGCTTTCATAGCGTTTTTCTCGTGAGCAACAACAAATGCAGAGTTATTAAAGGTCTTATTTTGGTAATTCTGTTCTAAATTCTGCTCTGATGTCTACGCAAATTTTGTCTACGCAAATGTCTTCAGCTACGGGACTTGGGTTAATACAGTCAAGTCAAGGATTTGTTGGTTTTTTTCCTTTTCAGTTTTATGCCAAAATACACTGGTTCAGAGCATCTAAAGACCACATTTATTTTAAATGTCAGACATTTTTACAGTCTTATTTGTCCTTTCTATTTTAGTTAGGTAACCAGTAATAAAGCCCATGCATGCTTAATAGCGCACAGACACTGTTCTACTGTAGTCATAAGGAGTTTGTTCTTCCTATAAACGCTTATAAAAATGTGGTATTTATTTGTGAGGTTTTATTCTGGCTCAAAGCACTCTCAGTACATTAAAAAAAGCAGAACAGCTGAAAGGCAATGATTTTTTTAGTAGTTATCACCAAGTTTCAAAAGTAAGATATCTAAAAGTTAGCGTGTTTATTTCCCCTTTAAGAGGCAAGTTAAGAAGGATTCGTTAATGTGTAAAATGTTCTTGCCACTTCTGTTCCAGAGCCTTTAGAAGTTGTTTCTTGTTGTGTAAATTATCTTACATTGAATTAAAGACTCTGAGTAGAAGAGTTGCTAAGTATTTGATGTCATTAATCCTGCCTTTCCCAGAAAGGAATGCAAATGACTCTTTTTTTCATTAGAGATAGAAGTCTGATTTCAGTTTGTCTAATGCAAAGTCATAAAATAATGAATGACGGTATCAACTTCCCTCAGTGAATGCAGTATCCTGATATATTTGTCGAGCACAGAGCTGTGATTAGTCTTTAAAAGCCTATTAACTGACTTCAAGTAGCTGAAGGATTTACTGCATTATAAGGGTTTCTACAAATTCCCTATAGGAATTCTATATTTCAAACAGGGTAAGAAATACACTCTAAAACTAACAGAGAGATGTGTGTTTGTGTAGCTGATCTTTAGATGGAAAATATGTCTAATATGGACATGGCAGAGCATAATATCCATCATTATATTAATATAATAAATAAATGTGTGTATTTAAATGATAGCTGTATCTAAATTATAACAATATCAGTGTTGAAATCCTGTTAAGGAACCCTTCAGTGTGAGAGTCACTCTGCCTCCATAACTTTGGATGTGTTAAATATCAATAAACTTGGGCCTGACATCATTTTCCAATTCAGGGCAGTTTGCCAAAAAACACCTATCTTCTCCTCCTTTTTTAGGGCAGATAGAAAATATTATGGGCATTTTACTGTATTTTATCCTGTAACGAGACAGAAATGTGAAAATTCATACAAAAGGAAACCTGTTCTCTTCTCTTCCTTCCTCCACTTGTCAAATGCACACAAATTTGACAAATGCTTGTAAGGAGTATGGATACCAAGTTGAATTTGTTGTTTAATATTGCCCAGCATCCAAAATCCAGAGTTCTCCCCGAGCTGCTGTAATTCAGGGGAACAGGACAGATCAAAGACCCATAACTTCTACCCTGCTGTAGGGATGGGCACAGACTGGGTTTATACAAGAACAAACTCTGGGGGGGTTTGTTAGATTTTTAATTATCTGACAAATTTCAGCTGTTTCTAGTATCCACATGAATGACAGATTTATGAAGCTGGCAAGAACCTAAATTCTTCCTGCATCCCTCAGCAACACATCTGCCTCAAATACCCTTTTGTGGACCTCCATGAAGGAAACCAGTGCAAAAAATGTATTCAGCACACCCTAAACCCAACCTTTTTCATTTTTCATTTTTATATTGTGAACACTGTGGATAAAATAGGAATTTGGATCATCTTTTTGCTCTTTAAAAATTTTAGGAAGTATTTTTCTGCAACAGGTTGAGCACATCTGGTTGAGCCCACAGGAAAGCCTGAAGTGCAAATCATTTGTGAGTTTTCTGCAGGAGACAAACGTGTCCCTTTTCCTTGTCCTGCACAAATAAATGCCTAAAACCAGAGGGAAATGAGAGCAAATCCTGCACATTAAGAAAGTGCCAGGTGAGAGCCCCAGGAGCAGGGGAACCCTGGTTCCCTGGTTGAAACAGGCTGTACTTTTCCACTCAGCAGCCTGCTGGCAATTCCTGTCACACAGCACAGAGTGGGATGCAGCATCCTGCATCCTAATGCTTCCCATCTCCTTTCTTTCCAGCCAGCTTCATTTTTTGTAGCATTTAGGATCTCCAGCTACAGGGATGCCATGTACTGAGCAGTGGAGGAAAATGGCCTTTTTTTTCCTCCCTATTTTTGTGTTTAGTGGTGTTTGGGACTGTGGCTTTTTACCAGTTTCTTCTTTTTCTTTATTTGTTTGGGGTTTTTTTTCCCCTTTTAAGGCTGAAAGAGCACAAACATGATTTTGCTTCACAGGTTTTCTCCCTAAGTGACAAGCTAGCTGCTATCACTGCTGGGGGTGGGGGTTAAGGAAGTCTTTGACAAACCAACAGAAAACTCAGCTTGCTGCAAGACACATTTTTGAGTGTTGAATCAATATTGTTGTGTTCTGCTGAGGTCCACCAGAAAGGTAAGAGAGCACACATGAGGAAGGTGGTTGTGTAGAGTTGCTGAATAAAAATAGCAAACAAAAAAAAAAATTTTGTCAGAATCAAACTTTGTGGTTACTTTTGGTTTAATATTTGATTAGCAAAGTAAAAGAAGTGATTAGCAAGTAAAAGAAGAAGCAAAGGGCAGCCTTAGCATATACTCTTTTTTTTTTTTTCTGGGTAATAAGACCATTTATAGGGTTGAGATTTTTACCCTCATTTGAAATTAAATTCTAATTCAGGTAGTATTATAGATTTTTACCCTCATTTGAAATTAAATTCTAATTCAGGCAGTATTATAGATTTTATGCAGGGGTTAAACAAAGCTGATGTATACCATGGACTGAATGACTCTGCAGAGTAAGTTTGGTGGAAATAGCTTACACCTCTCCAAATCTTTTCACAGAGTTGTGTTAAGGTAAAATCACCCTAACCCCATCCTTTGAGTCTGGATCCTAGATTTATCCTGATCTCACTTGTGCCCAGGATGATGCAGCTGCGTTTTCAAATGTGAAGAAGAAAGTGGAAACAGAAACCATCCTAAGTCTGATCAGAGGCAGGGGGTTGAAATCTCTGCTGTCCACATTGCCACTGCTTTTGTCTCATGGGTCCTGATGATCAGAAAACACTTTTTTTTTTTTTTAATGAAGTGTTTAGCTGAATTAAATTTTTAATTAAGTGTTAAACTGAATATTTTCACAGCTACTAAATGGACTTTCCATTCTTCCTCTAGTAAGCAAAAGCAGCATCCTTCTTATTTTAGAGACTTGCACCACATCTACAATTTCCAGGATGAACATTCCTGTTTACTCATCTCTGGAACCTTTTGCTATTGATACAAATAACACTGAGAGCGTGGAACACACACTTCACACCCTTGAGCTTCCTACCAGCAGCACCCACACAACCTCTCCTCTGCTGAACACACATTCAAGTCAGAACACCCTGAAAAGTGAAGTAGCTTCTAAGAAAAGAAGAGAATTAGGATTTCAAACTGAATGGAAAACACTCTTAGAAGTCTGCAAACAGAAGAAATTGGATGGAATTATTATGATGGCATCATTTAGATGATGCATTACTGAGAAAAGCATTTATGAAGTGATGGAAATCCCTGCATGGACAGCAAAGTTTTATGCACAGGGATCAACACCTGAACATAAACCCAGAATTTCAGGAGGGGGAGAATCTTTAGTTCTGACTAAATGCAGGGCAGCTAAGCACTTTAACCAATGAATAATTTAAAGATGTGTATGTCCCAAAAGGACCAGGGGAAGGAAAGCTACAATAACCTGAGCACTGAAATAACCTGAGCACTGAATCAACAAAATTTGATTGACATCCATACAAAAAGTTGGAAAGTTGAAAAGTTGAAAAGCACATTAATGCCAAGCTGTTGGTTTCTCTGAGCACTAAAACAGAGGAGGTGACAGTAGGAGTTTGGATATTTTATTTCATAGGGAAAGACTGAAGAAAGCCAGAAAACTTCTTATAGATTCTTATAGATTTAACATTTGGAGTATGAAACCCCCTACATAACAACCTCTTACCTTGCTGTGTGACAGCTTTTAAAGTGAGAATGTTGCTATAACCAGTTAAAAGGGGTGGATATGGAACCAAATACTGAACTAAAGGATTTTATCATTTAAACCACTCATCAGACCAAATGCTGCTCTAAAATAT